ATAAGACCAAGTTCCTGACAGAGTTGCTATCAAGATAACTTCATTAAGTTGAAGAACTTTGGGAGATGGAAAAAACTAGAAAAGCCTTACATGTTGCAGATTACTTAGAATTAGTCCTTTGACTTTTGGTCGTTTCGAAATGCAGGTAGTGTTTCAGCTGAATGCTGTGTGTAACATACTTTCCACTGGCATAGAACAACTGCTACGTTATCCTGCCCACCAAGTTCCTTTAGGATAGCATCTGGTTGTAAGTTGTAGTTAATAAGAGATACTCATGGGAGAGTATGAGAAAGATGACAATGATCCTGTGTGTGATGTGCTACAAGCTAAAAGTAATCCACTGTTTTCAATATAGGGTTTACTTCATTGTACTAAACTAATGACAAAGTGATTGGATCTGTACTTAGCATAAAGCCGTCATTCCAAATCAACCACAGTCCCTAAGACCCAAAGAATCCAAAAGCTGTATGAACTACTACTCTCCAGCCAAATTAGTACTTCACAATATTTTTTTTTCTCAAGTACATACCACCTGGAAATGTTCAGTCAGCAGATACAAATTTATAAGCTTTTTCATTCTCAATAGAATTGTTTATAGTTGGGAGACAAGACACAAAATTAAGTTGATCAGAGACTTGTGAACAAGTGCATAAGTAGAGTTAATTCATTTTTATCTGGTTATGGTACAGTACCTCTCCAATTAGAATACACAACAGACTTTTCATATCCTCCACAAGACTCTCAAACTTAATTTTCTCAAAAGACACATATAGATTGGATAAAGAGCTAGCAAGGATGATCTGCAGCAGATAAATGTACGCCAGGCCTTCAGACACAAGACTTTGATCAGAGTTAAAATTCCAAAGCCGACTCCCCCACTGAATGTCTTGTCAGAGCAGCTGTAGATAATTTACAGCAGTCAGGGAGGAAAAGGTAGGTAAACTGAACCAGCACAACAGAACAGTGACATTCTCTGCAGCACCGCTGTAGCCTGCAGGATGGAGGTTTCCTTAGCTGCAGGAAGTTAAGCCATGACAGTTCTGGTATATCATTCGTGGTCTCCTCTCATTTCCATAACCTGGAAAAAACATGAAAGTCACAAGTCCATTAGTACTTTGAAAACTTTAAGAAACCCTCTGTCGTGGTTTAACCTCGGTAGCCAGCTCAGTCCCACACAGCTGCTCACTTACTCCCCGCCCCCCTGGTGCGACGGGGGAAGAGAATCAGAAGAGTAGAAATGAGAAAACACATGGGTTGAGATAAAGACAGTTTAATAGGTAAAGCAAAAGCCATGCGCACAAGCAATTTAAAACAAGGAATTCATTCACTACTTCCCATCGGCAGGCAGGTATTCAGCCACCTCCAGGACAGCAGGGCTCCATCACGCATAACGGTTACTTGGGAAGACAAACGCCATCACTCCCAACGTCCCCCCCTTCCTTCTTCTTCCCCCAGCTTTATATGCTGAGCATGACATCATATGGTATGGAATATCCCTCTGGTCAGTTGGGGTCAGCTGTTCCGGCTGTGTCCCCTCCCAGCTCCTTGTGCACCCCCAGCCTGCTCACTGGTGGGGTGGGGTGAGGAGCAGAAAAGGCCTTGGCTCTGTGTAAGCACTGCTCAGCAGTAACTAGAACATCCCTGAGTTATCAACAGTATTTTGGTCACAAATCCAAAACATAGCACCATAGCAGCTACTCTATCCCAGCCAAAACCAGTACACCCTCCTATTTCAGGGTCATTCCAGTATTTCACCGAACTCAGAGAAGGAAACACGGAAATTCACTCACTCCAAATCAAAACCTAGTGTTAGTTCCTTATCCTTATAGTTTGTCTTCAGCAGGCTGCACAAGATAACTAAACTGGAGAGAATTTAGATGGTATCCGATTTGCATAGCAAAAGACAGCAATAGGAAGTTAGCAGAACTATGATGCCCCTTTGTATGTAATAATTAGACCTGATTATCATCTCTATGTAGTGAACGCATGCTACTTAGTGCAAAAACTCAAGCAACTTCATTTAACAACTACGGAGGCAAAAAGTATTGGCAGACAGTATTTACATGAAGTCTGTACTGGTCTTACTTCAAATATTTTCAAGTTGTGAAACTCACCTGTTAAATGCTTCACCCAGTAGAAGGATATGGATCTAGGTCCTTAGGCTGGACATACTGAGGTAGACTAAAACCGTGTCAGCTGGTAAATAACGCACTGAAATACTCTGAAGTACCTTGAGAAGCTTTCAAAACAAGTATTAATCTAGAAACATAAAGAATGAGGACTGAGGTATCAATATCCCAGTGTTTATCATTATGAAATCACATGAAGTCATATTTCTAGGTATTTTGAAGATTAGAATAGCAATTTTCTACCAGTGGATTTTGGCCAGCTATTGGTGTGGAAAGCAGGTGTTTTGTTTGGTCTTTTGCAGTATTTTTTAAAACAAAAGTAGCCTTAACATTGAAGGTTCATTACTAGCCTTTTGAGTCGAATCTAGTCTGAAAACTTTTTTATGACAGTATCTGTTCAGTTGTACTTATATTCCTTTTTGTAACAGAGGTAAGCTAGAGCTGTGTTCATGGCTCCAACTAGAAATACAGTGAAAGCCAATAGTTCTAGCTAAGGAGGTACTACATGAGAACGCTACAGGATAGAATTGATCATTTATTCAGTTACTGTATGGAAGAGAATTGTCCAAGTTATGTATTTTTTTAATAACAAATATCAGGGGAAAACCAGACATTTTATTTTAAAATATCTGGTACTGTAGAGATGATTCCAACTCAGGCTGATAAAGCTTACCAGAGTATGAAGTCTTTTAAAGCCATCCATTATATGATTTACAGTCAAGGAATGGTGTAATGATTAGATTTCATGTTTCATCATATCTTCACACTTCTTGCTGTCACAGTGCATACTCCCTTAGGTAGGAATTTAAAAATCCATCTTATACAAATGGACAACCTGCTCTGAAATTGAGATGCTTACCTCAGATATCTTAAATATATGCAAACTAGAGATACATAAAAGCTTTGCTAGATCTGCCAGTAAGAAATAAGATAAGTCTCAAACAAATGGGTCCACCAAGTAGTTGTCCAGACTCAATTGAACTGGAGCGTTAGAAAGTTAGAAAGCAACATGTGCTTCATGTATTCACAGTAATCACACGTTCGAGGTCACCAAAGGCCAAGCTTATTAGCAATCCTTAGAAGTACTGGTAACTTGTTCTTAAAGCTAAGAAATCCATCATACAAGTACATATAATAAAACCAAGTAGGATAAGCTGCATGCTAAATGAAGAAGCCTGCACTAAGGCAGCCTGAAGCACAAGGGATACCCTGCTACTACAGGCAGAATAGGGCCCATTTATTTACTAGTCCCTATGCAGACAGCATGGGAGAGGAGTGACTGGGTCACTGCCCGAGATGTCTAAAAACCCAGAGTTGCAGGTCTGTTAGAAAAGCAATGAAGTCTGTTTGTCCACAGCTGCAAAGCTATCGCTATCAGCTGTGCAAAGCTGAAAATTATGCTAGCACTTCGGCCTATCTACTATATTCCCATATTAATACACAAGGAGAATTAACAGCTTGAACAAAAAAAGTGCTAGTTAAGCTCCTGCCGCTTAGCCCTTATTGAGAGTGTTCTAGAAATAAGCCTCTATTGGCTGAAGTCAGAATTAGCATGTTTAAAAATACAAGCTTAGTATTTAATGGTTAAGACTTGGAGGTTTTGTCCCTAGTGGCAAAAAACTAGGTTCCCTAAAGCTTTATCCCAAATTTATCCATCTCCAAGCTTGCCAAAAGAATTAAACCAAGACTTGACGTATGATCACCCTCTAAAAATCTCTATGAAAAGGAAATCTAAGCTTGGAATAAACCCAAGATCTTTACAGCAGTAACCTTATGAAGTCATGCCAGACAACTTGTTTTGGCATCTGCATGGTAGCAAGGGAGAACTGTTTGAAGTTGGAAACTGTGAAACCAGTTACCAAGAAACAGCAGCTTTCTATCAGGTCTGAAGTATATTCCATGTAGGTTTTGACTTTCATTTAAATAAGCAGATAGCTGAACTGCTTTTCCTGTGCATAGTTCTAGTTCATCCTTAGATATACCAGTCAGGCTTTTGCACCAGCTACCTTAGCACACTCGGATAAAGTACTTCCTACTGCTAAAACTACTGAAGCTTTTAAAAGTAGAAAGAGCCAGTGACCTACAGTCTTCCTACTAGTTCATACTTCCATTTTAAACATGGAAATGCTTTATAGTATTTGACATGCTGCAGCTTAGACAAGGACATACATCATGGCTTTTCAGTTCTCCAGCCACAAGACATTGCTGAAGACTGGTCACACAGCCCTTTAGCTGTAAGAAAGGGATTTCATAAATGCTTCCTAGCATTTGTATTCAGGTTTGATTTAAAATGCAAGCAGCAGGCTTCAACTACAAATACCAAGTTCCTCAGCAGTTCTCTGAAAGGAGGAGATAACTTGCATTACAATCCGATTCAAGTCTCATGGGGGAGTAAAGCCATCCATATTTGTGCTTCACAAGGGTCAATTTTAACTTTAAAATATGTTGCAGCTGAGTAACAAACAGTGCAAGCCAGCCCATCAGTGACTGTTTTGAGGTTTAAGAATTTCAATTACATCACTACTGAAGGACAGGTGATGTGACAAAGCTAGCTTTTGACAGGATATGCATTTAAAATAAGTAGTCCTAATGAAGTATGTAGCATTTCACTTCTAATTTCTTGACCTTTTGGTTAAAAAGGAAGTAGGTATGTAACTAAATCTTGAATTCATTTTGATCAAGGGAACACTCTTAAGAATGGCATTAGGCAAGAACTAAATAAACAAGTAATATCATGTAAACTATACAGATTACCCTGAATTATTGAAACTTGAAGACTGGTTCTATGTAATAGCATGCATGTACACTCCACATCAGGAATAAGCTCAGTTAGATGTATTTTAAAAATAAAGACCACTGGCAAGATTAAAACTAAAATGCATATTAACTTGTTTTATTGAGGCACAACAAGGCATTGTGAATAGCCCATACTTGAGGCAATCAATAGTGTAGTAAGCTGGACATTAATACAGTTTAGGGTAAGTGCAAACAATATACATTCACAGCTTTACTAGCAAGGCTACATCACAACTGATAAAGTGCCAAATTAGTGCTGATTCAGTACCCCAACTCCATGATTTCACCTTGCACAACAGGACCATCATTTCCCCCAGTAATGGAACCACATATCTTCTATAAAGTCAGTATAAGTGCAAAGCTAGTCCCACCCCCCTCCACCAAGGTGTTTGGAGCAGCTCTTTTGTAAACGTCGCACTGGATTTTAGTCCTGATAAAGGAGGTATCCCGAAAAGGTGGAGTATTTCCAGCTACTTCCATAGATGGCTCCCCGATGCAGACGCAACCAGATCTGATCTCCCTGGAACAGCTGCAAGACTGCGTGGTTACTAGCTGTTTCATGATCAGGAGCCCCATCGTTTGCATATGCTGACACTAGGACCTCTTCATTCTTCATGAGATTCACATACAGCGGAACATTTACAGCCAGTTTCAGCATGTGGAAGATGAAGACATATGTACCATTCACTGGACAGTTGAACCTACCAAGCTGGATATCAAAAGTTTCTCCAAGGTTGTTCAGCAATAGATCAAACACAATTGGCTGGTCTAGAGTTCCAGGGGCCAAGTTAGATGTTCTAGCGGCAGAGAAGGCAACTCTCATCTGCTGCGGGAGGGGGTAGACATGCACTGGTAGTATGGTGGCAGCTTGGCTCGTCACTGGCATATCAACAGGGGTGATGCTGCGGGAGTCTCCCTGTCCAGAGTCCCCGCTGTTAAAGGTTTCATTGTCTCGTTCTGGACTGCTCACCTGAGAGGAATCACTCCACCCTGCTGTTAAAGATCATTAGCAATGATAAATAAGTATTATAACAGAAGGAGACCCTTAAACCTGTGGGCATAATCTTAAGCAGCAAGTATATGGGCTTTGCAATAGATTTGTCTTTCAGCTACAGGAAGTTGTCAAAGGACCCCAGTGAGAACAGAACTTTGAAGCTGGTTTAAATTTACCACACTTGTAGCATTCAGCACTATAAACAATGACTTTTCATACTTTTAAATAGGAGAGGGCACTAGCTTGGAATAGTTTTAGCTTTAGTATTGCCACATACATATATTACCATAAAAAAAGCATATGCCAACTTCTGAGTGGAGATAAAATATAACTTCTGAAAAAATTGGCAAGACTACCAGGAGCCAAGTAGTCATTTAGTCACCTTGAAGACCTGAATTTGCACTTCAAAGTTACCTCAATACTGTTCTTCTGGAGCTGCATTCTTAGTAGGTCATAAAATATTCTAGCATCATAAGTTGTTAAGTTTGAAGAACCAGAATTGCTTTTAAGTTTTCTGCACCCCGCTCCCCAAAGTGAAGCTGTATCTTTTCAAATATCCAAGTTAAAAGGGTCTAGAATGAAGACATTAATAGATCTAATAAATTTAAAGCAGTCACCCTCAAGTTCCTAGCTACTGTTATGTCCACTGGAAAAGAACACCTTAAGATAAAGAAAACCAAGTAAAGCTGCTACTGATACCTTACTGATACCTACTGTTAACTCACCACAATCTCATATTTCTTTTAATTTTCTGCTGAAGTATATTCTCTGAGTCCTCCCTGACTGAGAGATGACCTGCTTTATCTTAAAACAGTTCCCATGACATGCCATAATTCCCCTTTATTCTTCAAAGTAGTGGTATATAGTTACTATTCATGTTTTTCACCTATAGCACTGTAAGTCCAGCTTTTTCCAGCACATCTTCCAGAATTAATCTTGTTTATGACTTCTCAAAATAAATACTATTCATGCTTGGATTGAAACAGCTAGTCTTATGTATTTCTTTAAGTTTTGTACTCCAGCATGGAAATACAGAGTAAACCTGTACTCCCAAACAAACTATTTTTCATAGAAAAAGTTATCTTAAAGTTTCTGGGATCTGATAGCTCACCCAGAATCAGGGGAGACCATACAATTAAGGGATGAATCCAAATGCAACATGGGAACCACCCTGTATTTCCTGCTCAGTTTATTTGTGAACAAAGTTCTGTAAAGTACCATTGTGTCAGAACATTGACATGTGAAGACACCAAATTGAGAGGTGACATTAAATCTGCTGCCATGCAATGCTGACTGTCTAAGAACAATACTTAAGCTTCCATCTATCTTGGTTAATTTATACCAAGCTTGATCTGTTTGATCAGTAACAGTACACTTTTTCTCACTATTCACAGTAACACTCCACTTCAGCATCTGCTATGCCTAAGCACATACACGTACCACTGGGAACCTGATGTTAGCCTTACCTCTTGAATTTGCTCGAGGACCAGTAGTTATCCCACCTCGTTTATAGCACTGCTGGTAATTAACATCCTAAAAAGAACAGAAGTATTAGTAAGATTGCTATGAGCCAATCTGAAAACAAGTGGGACTACCAAATATAGTATTTTTTCATTTGCACAGTTAATTCAAGCTCTAGAATAGACAATGATGTGGTTCAGAGTTAAGATGTAGGTAAACAGCCTTATTTATGGAAAATTTACAATAGTTTATATGGATTTAAAGAGCTATTTCAATGCCCGTTCTAGCAAGTTAGCTTCTGAACTATACATTCAGTTCAGTTCATTGAGCATTACCTTAAATCTCAAGTCTGTGAGTCTGTACAGAAGAATATATTTCATTTCAAAGTTGAAGACCCTCCTCCCACCAGGAACCTTTGCTTTCTTACACATTGGTTTTTGGTTTTTTTTTTTTTTGCCTAACCACATTGACAGCAATCCATTTAAGAGTTCATTATTTTATACTACAGAGGCATTGAGGACTAACTTTAAAATCCATAGTAAAATGGACTCATTATGCCACATCTTATTTGCCATCTGTTTGCATTCTGACAATTCCCTTCAGACTAAAAATCAACCTGTCACACAGAGATGTTAGCTGTCTGAACTGACTTCCTATTTCAACTGCTGTCTACTGTTCCAAAAAAGGGTTTAATCTAGGAAACAAAACTAAACTCCAGCTTGTAAAGAATAGTGCACCTGTTAGGATAATGAAAAGCTACAGTATTAGAAGACTTATCTCCCATACAGTGCTCAAGACGACTACTGGAAACAAAGTCAATGCTTACCCTCTGAGAATATGGCATTCCAGCATAATCTCTACCAGGGAACTGCAGCTGGCCATAGTTGCCATTAGTTATTGAAGGTGAGCCTCTGTAAGCATCAAAACCTGTTCAAATAAGGTTGATTATTCAATATTATTTATGGTTTGGTTTACAAGTACAAGTCCAGAATACAACTAGAGCTCCCTTTTGGCAATTACTATGTGTATTATTTTATGAATTACACATCTATTCCTTCTTTCAGAGTCTCACCACTCCTATACAGAATGCATTTCATTAGCTACTCTGAATTACCCAATGTATCAAAATTCCATGTTTAGAAGTATTAACATCAGACCTTAACAATTGCCTGTTTGATATTAACGGGACTTCACAGAACAGCTGAAAAACTTGCTGGATCCAGAGACAGGATTTAGCAGAATTAAGAAATGCTTTCTTTTGCTATTACAGATGCTTAGCTATGACTGTTATATATATTTAAGTACTATAATATTTAGCATCTTTAGCTATTTAACTACCAAACCCTTAACTGCTGGAAAGTTAGAACTACATAACTCATTTTCTGGTACATGTTCCTACAAGGTATTGAGCAGTCTCAGTCCAGTAACTGAAACAAGTTCTGTCACAGACTAAGTGCCCTTCCACTTCCAAGTGGAATAGGCCACAGCTATCAACAACCTTAAGTTGGTATCTGCTGAGAGTCAGATGAAACTTTCCATAGTACTTCGGCTAGTAGCAGAATAGCAACTGATTTGCAGAGACCAAACAGTCTTTCTCTTAAAACCCTTCAGTTTGTTATTAATCCAGAAGGGCTCTCCTCTACTGGGAACCTCTCCCCCCATCCCAGTTTCTGCTGGTAATATTAAAGCCAGCAGCACTAAGCAAAGAGTATCTTGTTTTGGGCAAATACCTCAAGTGACATCTGAAGAGAAAATACCTGTCCAGAATTTTAGCAAGACAGATGCCAAAAGAAAGAATAAAGGGGGTAAAAAGTTCAGAAGGGTAAATGAAATAGCAAGCAGAGAAGTCTATACAATTAAGTAACTTAATAACCTATTAGTGAAAGTTTCTACTTTAATAATTCAAGAGGTTATGAAATTGCTCTGCCAGTTCACCTGACACCCAAAGTACAGGGACTACAAATAAAAGTCAGAATGAACTGGCTTAAATTCTACAAAGGAAGACCCCATTCTCTACACGTTGCTCTTAAAAAAAAGTCTTGTTTTAAGTTTCACATATAGAACCTAAATGTAATACCATGTTCTGTTAAATCATGTTCTAGTGTTACTACATTAGATTTTTTTTTTTTTAAGATGGTAGTAAGGATATACATACCTTTGTACCCACCAGGGGAACGATATGAATTAGCCAGTGACCTTCCACCTCTAGCAGACCCTCTGACAGACCCACGACTGTTAAGGTAAGGCTGAGGAGGTCTGGGAATAACATTAGTCTGTGCTGGATAAAAGGCAAGGCTACCATTGCTAACAGGAACAGCTCCATCAGGTTGATAATTCACTGCTTAAAACAGAAGGCACAGATGAATTCAAAGCTTTTGTAACTGTAGTAAGTTACTGCACCTAGAAGCAAAGGCAGCATTAGGAAGTTCAGAGACTGATTAAGCTACTCTGAATATCCTGTTCTTGTGCCCCTTCATTACTCCAAATAAGTGGGGATCCTCCCCTTTGTTCTGTAGAGTGTAATGCTTATTAACATATACTGTAGACAGCCCAAGCTGTCAGTGTAAGCTTCTAATGCATTCAGCAAGATTCAGTTGCCTAGGTCAGAACACACTTGCTAGCAGCATCAAGAAAATAAGCAAGCTAGAATAAAATCAAGTAACACCTGATTAAGAATTTTCACCTAGAACCAACACTGTTCTACTAACAAGACCTCAGTGGTCTATCTGATAAACTCAGGTCACCTCAGTGTTGACATCCTTCAAAATGATGAGACAAACTCAATCTTATCTAGATAGCAATAAAACAACTGTGGAAAGCTAGATATTTGGGTTCATTCTCTTCAACAGACATTCCTATCACATGTTATTAGGCAGTTCAGTCCCAAGCAACAGGTATTCAAGAATGCTTTTCACTCACAGGGTGGTTGAATGGTTAGTTGAAATACAGACCTTGCAACCATGAATGTGTTTCCAAAGGACCATGCTTTATATCAATCCAAAAAGCTTAAAACTGATCCAGAGTGATAGTCTAAACCCCTTTCTGAAGTCTGTGCAGAGCCACTGCACAAGATTAATCAAAAAAATCATGATGTTCCATTAAAAACTGTATAGAAGGCTGATCATCTGTAGTCTCAGCAACGAGAAGGAACATTCAAGCTAAACATGCTTTCCTGACTGCTATACTTATATTGCTCTTTGGAGCTCTTAATCTTCCTATGTCTCACTGACTGCATACAGTATCAGTCTATTTCTAGTATAATTCGTATGAAGATTCCTCTGGCAGAAAAACAGTAGTTTTAAATGACCTTAAGTCACTTGATTAGACAGTCTTATAAATCCAGATCCCTAGTTGTCAGCTTCCTTTCATCCTGGAACCCGTTTCAGGCATATTTAGGGGCTAGTTTCATTTCAAATTTAGTGTCAGTTATATAAATTCACCTGGTACAGTATCTGAATGTCAGGCAGGTCAGTTGTGTTGAGTAAAGCAGCTCAAGACCACACTTATCAGAAGTTTACTATTCCTCAGGTCAGACTGAAAACTTATCCCAACTTTTTTAGCATTCAGCAACTCCCAGCACTAGACAGCACTAGTGTCTATTATCAGAAACCAAATTAATGGTTCCAAATAAGAGTATTTCATCATTGCTTCAATTCCAAGCAAACAGTTGTTTGACTGACAAGTATCACTGCATACTTGAATTTCCCACCTACTGGGAAATTCAGGCATGTAACTGACACTGTCCATGCAACTAGTATAGAAACTGATTTGAAGCAGCCTTTCATCCTGCTAGCAGTTTTGAAATTAAGTTTATATACCATACCATCAACTAGATTAGAATTGATGTAACCCTAATGTTAACAGGTGCTACATAACAGCGTTTAAGAATTTCACTGAGTTAGAAGAACTTGCAGCACATGTTATAAATTAAAATACTACTATATCCTGAAGATCTTTAAAGACTACATGAAATACAGAATCAAGTACAGTTCTCACCTGACGACAGAGATTCTTGTGAAAGAGAGGTTTGTTCTGCAACATGAGAAGATTGCAACTGGCATTGAGGAGGAGTCTGTGTACTTGCTGTAGAGAAACTCTGGTTATATCCTGACGAATATGAAGAATCCTCTTTAATTTCCTGGTCTTTACGCGGAGGCAGTGGTGCATTCACTTTAAATACCTACAACGTATTTTAAGACAAGTGCTTAAGACTACCAGCTAAAGTCTCTGCCTAACGCCACCACCCTGCTATGCCATAGTTTAAATCCATATGCCCAGATCAGTTTCTAGAACACCAACTGTTTCTTAGAAATAATCAAGAACATTGTACTTCAACCCATTCTTTTCCCTCTCAGTAAACTTACAGAACTTACTCCTGTTTACGTAGCTGCTATCCAAGAAACATAGCTTGATTGACCATAGCTACCATATCTGATCAACAGAACAGCTACCATACAATAAGCTGTTTTCCTTCTATGGGAAATCCACTGTTAAATTCACTGACTACCTGTCCTACAACTTTTGACCTGAAGCTATGCTATAGGGACAGCCTATGCTGAGATGAGATTCACATTTGGGAAGAATTTAGGTCTTTATAGATGTCTTGGAACCTGATGCAACACTACTATCCACTCAAATGCCATATTAGACAGCCTTCACCCCTTTGGTAAATTAAGCCTCAACTTTCCTACTCATTTTAAGTTCCCTCAGAGTAAACACGCAACCTAAGTAACAGTCTTGTAATTCAAATTATAATGTTATAGCCTGGGCAGTAGGGTGGTGCGCAGATATTACTGTTAGTTAAAACTAATCAACCAGAGTTCAGTCACTCCAGTGACTGTACTGCTTTACAGCCAATAACCCAAAATTACCAGAATTGATGCTGTCAAAAGTGACAACTAGTATCAAGATTCAAATAGGAAAGAAGTCTATTTTGAGTAAAAGGATCTAAATTTCACATGAAGAGCTGTCAGCAGTACTGATACTGAGTCTAGAGGTGTATCTGACTATTTTCCAAGACTATAAACTGTCTGAAGACAGATCAGGGCAAAACTATAGCTAGATGCAAGGAAGAGCTTCACAGCTTGACAACTCTTGTCATTTGCAGAAGCCTCTATAATTAAAACGGGAAAAGAACACTTTTTCCAGGGTCAAGAAACCAAGTACTGCGTCTAAGTGGGAGCCAGCACAGAAACCCTTCATGATACTGAAGTGTTGAGTATAAATTTTGAACCATAATAAAATAACAAATTCTGGGTGGTGATTTTTTTTTTTTTTTACTTTACCAGATGAAGTGATGAAAGTGATTCAAGGCAATCCTCTTCCTAAAAGAAATTTGAAGATGCTGTGCAGTCAGGCTGTCAACACCCGCATCCTGGAGTATTTGTAGCTAGCCTACTTTTTCCTACAGTGAGGGTTACAGGTGGAATTCTAGTAAAGGTCTAGGGCTACTGGTAGGATCTGCCTTTTTGCTGCCGTTGTACTTATGGAAGCTTAAGGATGTTCAGACATCTGAGAAATCAGATGTTTCCATTACTGTCACTGTACTATCACTATTTGGCAAGGAACCATCTGACTCCTGGCTATCTACTGAAATCCAATGGCTGTGTTTTCCTGGCAGCAATGAGAATCTAAGAAATGCAGGGAAGAAGAAAACCCCTTCACGGCAAATTTAGACTGCTACTGCTACAAGAGGAACTAACATCCTAGCAATTTAATGACAGATGTTTGCCAGTGTGACCCAAAAATCTCAAGAGAAATCTTGAACATTTAACATCTCTGAAAACACCACAGCATTAATTCAGGTGAACTTTCAGTGGTACCATTATGATCAAAAGCGCTCTGAACACAGACACTAGGTTCAGATATAATCAGAATGACTGAGACCAAGACTCCATATTTATATCACAACAGATGCTTATCTTATAGACTGGGTCCCCAGAAAGACTCTGGATTCCTTGATCATAACACGCTATTATTTCTCCACTTCCATGAAAAATCACCACCTAGCCACTTAACATCATTTAAATAGATCTGGCTTAGAAAGAACCACCTCCCTACCACCACTTGCCTTATTTATAATTATATCAAAATTCTGTACCTCTGAGGAAAGTTCTACTTGAACCTCTTCTACAAATACAGAAAACCAAAGAGAAAAAGTCATGGTAGTGATTTACTGCAGACCACACCAGGACATCATAGATGTTTTAGTCATTAATTCCTGTGCTTTGAAAAGCTATTAGCTACCTTCTTCCACCAAATCCTCCTACATATGTCTCAATACTGCAAGATGCAGATCGTCCAGCAAGTTGTAGAACTGCACTGGTATATTTGCTGAAAGGAACAATGCCTTTGGAGAATCTCAATGACCTCTTTCTAAGCTTGCTTTTGAGCAAGAAGATTAAATTAATGTTTCTAGCATCTTCTGAAGAAGGTATCAGAGGAGTAAATAAGACCAAGTACAGGGAACAACTAAATGGAGACCCTTCCTCTGAGTTCCTCTAAGCTTGCACTGCAGATTACCAGACAGTAGGAATGTTAGAGAACATTAGTACCGATGTATGGCCTGAAAAAATAGTACCTATTCGCAAGAAACACCGCTCATTGTCTGTGTGGACTATTCCCTAGACATCTATATTGACTACTTATTAACGAGATAGGATAATGAGCTACACTGGTCTTTACCAAGGACACGTTTTCTGTGATTCCAGTGGACTGAGTTTTACCCCATGAAAGCAAACAGTTTAAAAAGCAGCAAGACAGGTTCAGGCTTCAGAAAGCTTTTAGTCCTAGCAGCTATATACTTCAGGATTCCCTCTCTCCTCTGCAGTCTTTATTATTTGAAATCTATGCATAAGAACAGTTTAAGTACAGTCAACTTTACCTTGGGGCACAGCTATAAATCTGTTGATTTCAGGTCTGCCTTATCCCTCTTAGTTCCTCGAGGCTACTAAGATATCCTAGTATTAGATTTTGGGACTATACACAGCAAAACCAGGATCTCTGTTCTTAGATGATCTATTTTAAGTTCTGAAGGCATCAGATAAGCAGAATTCTAATCTAGGTTTTTAACATTAAAACATCAAAATGATCTATCAAGTTCTGTACTACATCAAGAGGAGCCAGTTCCCCAGTATCAGGACTAAGTTATTAGCATTATTGTCAATTATTCTTCTGTGGCCTCAAGTTGCATACTTACAGTCTGCATAGCCTGAAAGGGAGCTGCTGTTATTGTGACAGAACTGCTACTTGCTGGAGGTGACTGAAAGCTTTGCGCTGGTGGTACTGGTGACATGGAGGTGCTTGAAGTAGGCAACGGTGATTGTGGCTCACTTGGGAGGGGAATGGTTGCCTGAGGGAAGAACAAATGTAATGAAAGGTCACTTGATAGTCATCAGGCAGTAACAGAAGCAGTTAATTTGTTCTAAAGCCTAGACTGACAGAAGTCAGCAGTTTCTACAGGATGACATTTGGACATAGTAGAGCTACAAAATAGCTTTTGCTTACAATTTCAAATCTTGCTGTGCATCCTCAGCAAACAGTACTTCTATTGCAATCTCTGCTGATTAAGTGAAATGTGCCTATGAACTACTATACATACCACTCATTGTAATAATTTCACAATAAAGAGACATCAGGTATTTTTCCCCACCACTAATGAAACATAGAATGCCTTCTGTTCCATCTATTGGAAGATGATTCTCTGGCTGATATTAGAAGTGACTTCTTTTCCAAAGGAACTCAGGAAGTTTAGGGGGTTTGATTTTTTTCCCCTCCCAACTTAATCAATTATGTTTCAGATTAGAAACAATGCTGAGTTGTCCAGACAAAGTATTAAGCAGCATTAGGTCTCATCTGTGCAAACAGAAAAATGAAGTGTTGATTTAGAATACCAATATTTATAGGAATCAGAAGTCAAAAGGAATGTAAGGCTCTTAGACACATTTCAGCAACCAATATATTTACCTTACCTGTATTTGTGATAGCTCACCTGGGTAATTTCTATCTTTTTAGGTATCAGTGGCTCAGAAATACGTGAACTTGTCTGATACAGTGGCTGGGAAGTATATTTCTCAGTCTCTTGAGAAAGCGATGCTGATGCCTAGAAGGAGCCATACATGCACCTGTTATTACAAGAAGTATTGCAGAAAGCACAGAGTTCTGGTAGAGCGATGAAATACCAGTGCATAAGTTGACACAAGTGGGTTTTGAAAGACCGTGACAAACAATGTATTAAATAGTCATCTTAACCCAAAGCTTCAAGTAATTGGCTTTAGAGATTCAGACTTGGATTACCCTTCTTACACAAGAGGTTGTACAACTAGCCCTGCAAAGTCAGATAATTTTAAAAACTGTAGATTGCTTCAAGCAGTTATTTACAATGAAGTCTGTGACGCACACCTGTCTAATTAAATGGAAAGACATGTCTGATGTTAAACTTCTAGTAAACTATCGAACAAGGCTTCAGAGCCAAACTTTGGTTTGCCTTTGCAAAACCTGCAGGTTCTATACTTAGCTCACACTTGTAATGCTAAGTTTAAGAGTTGCTTATACTTGGATATACAGCCTAGGGCTAAAGACTACCAGTCCCATTCTCACCAGGTATACCATCACAGGTGTATCAGACAGAACTACTCTTGCATACCAGGAGAGTGCACTGTCACCATGGAGTGTATTTCCTGGTTGTGCTAGGACCAAACAAAGCTTATCTACTGCTTTCCATGAGAAGCAGGACTAGAAAAGAGAGACACCACACTTCAAGCCTAAGGGACTAGAGATATGCTGGGCACAAGCAACCCTAATTCCAAACAGTAAGCTGCAAAAAACCTCAGAACATTCTGCTCATATCAGATGTTCTACATTATAGCCCAGCACAAGTCTTCCGGATGCATATTAACAGCAAAATTATTTAATCCTTGTCAGCACAAGAAGTCTTATGACACTGACAAGTGAGAGAAGGTGTCAAGAACCGGGCCAAAACTGCTGATTCAAGAGGCAGCAAGACTATAATATCCCTGTCAAGACTGTTACATTCAACTATACAGTATATTAAGGAACAGAGTAAATGCTACATGCACAGTATACTGATAGCATGTACATCAGCAAAAAAAACATTTAAAAAGCATGAACATTTCCCCATTATAATCTACATACACCGTATTAGAGAGTCCAACAGGTAAGACCCAGCTGTGTTTCTGAACACAGCAATACTTAGCAAGAGATCTTTAAGACAGTGATCTGCATAAATTGAAACACTATTTTCAGCTCTAAACAATATTTGAAGGCTAGTTGAAGATTTAACTGCACATAAATATAGCTAAGAAAGCAACATTTGAGGTCTTGGCTGAATATCAGGAGGTCAGATTCCCAGTATTTCTTTAGTTAGTGCTTGAGAGAACACATCTCAGTCTTCAGCTTACACAGAAGTCTATTTCATGACAATACCCATCCCAGTTTATGCATCCTCTATGTTGTCATTAGAGGGAGCATTCTACACTGTAACCAAACCAAATATTTATGCTGCTCATATGTTCCCACAAGAATATGCACCACACTTTCTAGCCTGCACCACTTTCTAGCCTGCATTTTTCATCCCACACCCTTCCCATTTCAAGGGGCAGAATGTTCACTTTGCATTCATGCAGTATTAGGAAGACTTTTCCAACTTTTAAGACTTAAGTATTCCAGAATGTAGGCTATACTATTGCTGTTACTTGCATTCTGTCCCTGTGTGTTGTTCAAGAATAGTTATCCAGGAAAGGCCCCACCACAGCTTTCTGTTAGGGCTGGCTATTGCACAGATCTTTGAATGCCAGTGAGCCCCAGGGTATATTACCTGTGGTGTCACCAAGTCTTCAGTTTCAGAGCCAGAAAGAGTCTGATCAGCAGATGCTAGGGAAGTATTTGAACCATGCAGTGTCACGGATGAAGCAGCAGCCTTGCAAGAAGAGACAACTGAGATAAGGTTTTGAAAGATTATCTTAAATGTTTGGGTTCACTGAAACTCATACTCTGGGCATTTTCAAGTAAACCTCAGAATGAGGCAGGAGCTGAAGTGCTTTAACCAGTTAGTCTAAGTTTCTTAGGAATTCTTGTTAGTGGCAGAGAAACCTATTTAAAAGCCAAAGTAGCGAGACATACAAGCACAGTAAGTGAATTTAAGGTTCACTTAAATAAATAAATACTTAACCATGGCTACCAAAGCTTGAAACACTATCTTTGGCATTAAGTGAGGATCTCAAAGATGAAGAGATGCACTATCTAGGAAAGAAGCAGCATGTTCTCTATGAACAACTATTAGCTAGGACTTGAATCTATGGCTTAAATATTCAAACTATTTCAGCATGTCTTCAACATACTGTTTTACTTCAAGAAATTTGAAACATTTGTTGCTGCTTTTCAAGCAGAAGAGCAGCCAACTTTGTCAGCACTTGAGTGATCTTAGACTTGCAAGCTACTAAGTTACACGAAATTTGTTACAAAACTACTGACAACAAGAAAAACAATGGAAGTACTAAGTCTATTCTAGTGAATAACCTCTATATCATTCCTTGGCTACAGCTCTGCCTCCTCAGGGCAGTCTCAACTTCAACTTACTTGAAGGGGCTGTTGAAGAAAATCACTCTGACTTGGCAGTTTCTGTTCTTTTGAAGCTGTAAAAAAAGAATGCGTTAAGCAATATTTACTTTTAAATTCAAACACTACATACAGTTTCAGTGTGCAGTTGACATTTTCAAAACATTTGGTGTATGAAGATGCACACTATTTTTAGCATATGCACTGCAAATACTTAGACTTAGCATCAGTAAACTACACCCCATTGAAAACTTCAGGATTTTTTGTAAGAGAGGACAGGTAATAGATATACCCCCTTTCCAGATTAAAAGAAACAACTAAATATTTAATAAACTGGGTAATTGTGTTTTACAGCCCAAAAGCCACCCAAACAGTTTCTTAACATGGGACATTGTAGAAAGTTCCAGTTTTCTAACTGTAGCTAGCTAACTGCTCTTTATCCTGAGCTCATTCACAGCTTGTGTCTATATACACCGTATCTAGACAAGTTTGTGGCACAGATATAGCATGTCAATTCTGCAGCTGGGTTCAGATGCACATGCCAGTCAGTGATAATGCAAGCATTCTGTTTCCAGGCAGATGCACCAACTTAAGCCACCTCCAGCAACAAATAAGCAGGTAAGTGGCTCGTGCTGCCTTTTTTTAATCAGACATTGGTATTTTTATAATTAGACAAGCTGTCTTCACCATGCCTACTCATCTACAGCCCAAGCAAACCCTGTTAGTGTTTGCAAAAGCTTACATACAATTCACACTTACAGTATTACTTACCTACAGGACTACTTGCTGGAGTAACTGAAGGTGGTTGGGATGAACCAATGGCACTTGGTGAAGCCTTATCAAAATCCAGAATGGACTCCTTTTGAAAAAGAGATCTTTGGTTAGGAGGAAAAAAAATTAAACTCCAGATACAAGTGAAACATTCTCATTTGACAAGTTGCTGTTAGCTAATTAGAGCTAGATTAATTCATTCAGTGCAAACACACATTGTCAGCACTGTTTTCCCTAACTCAGTAGGAATTGGAGCTTTGTGCTACAACAGCAGAGAAACACATACTTGCATGAAGTTGTAAGTCCCTTGTATCTGAGTCATCAGATCCTGAAGTTTTTCCCTTCTCAATACTGGATCTTTTGGAAGAGTTGAAGTAGAGCAAAATTCTGCAGCTGGCTGATGTACAGGTTTAGGCACCTAATAAGGAAAAAAGATATTAAATCTAATACTGGAAGCAAGACAAGCTGCCTTATCCAATATACTTCCAGAGCAACTTATAGGTGTCAGACACCATGGACCAAGGAATTCTGTGCTGTTATTGATATCTCCTGAATCAAGCTTTCACTTTGTTAAAAAAAACTAGCTTACTGTTGCCACAATTAGTTTAGCCACAGAATTAGTTAACTTCATTCAGTTTCGTACAGTCAAATGTACAGCAGACAATAAGTTGCCTGCATTTAGTCCAAAATCAGGCACCTCCATCTAAGGAAACCCACATATTTAACTTGAAGGCCAGTACAAGCTTAAAAATCAAAGCTGCATCACTCAAGGTTTAAAACATACTTCCTCCCAGTAGAGCCCATGTCAGTAAGTACAGATCTTGTATTAAGATCCCATTTCCAGATATTCTAAAGAAACTGCACCCAAGAGATACATTGCAAGCAGGTTACTTGGGATTGGACCAAAGTGCTTCCACTCATGAGCCAGACACACTCAATACACCAGCTCCTGCAGAAAGTATTACCTGAAACTTTTCAAAGTTTGGCATGAAAAATACACCTGTGCTCCCACATGGGAGCCTAACTTTGTAGCTAAATAAGGACTTCTGCAGGGCCTTATTACTCCTTGATTGTTTCAGATGGTCCCTCAACAATTCATCACAACTGATTCTCACTTCACTTCAAAGAGGGAAATATTTTATCAGAGAACAGGCTAGTCTAAGGTATCAGAAAAATCATGACAGTAAACTCCTTAAATAGCAAAAGCCCTGTTATTTACAGAGTGACAATAATATTAGACTGTCTAGATAAGTCTAACATGTCTTTTGAAAGCAGCTTGGGGAAGAGATAGGCTTGTTATAAGTATTTTAAAACAGTAATTTTCAGTGACTGTCTAAAGTTTTGCTGTTCTTATGTTTGTCTATGCAGCTAGAAGGAGGCAAATCTGAAGACATTAAGCAGTTGCATTATTTCAACTGGCCCAAATGTTGAGACACACAGGAACATGTGAACGCCTTTACTTTCCTACAGTACAAACATTTGTCTTTCTAATAGGAGGTTACTACTTCCAATACACTGTATAGCAGTATAGTTGAGTGTTTATATGAAGGCATTAGAAGACTTTATGGCAGATGGGTATATGTGTCATGACATGTAATTGTCACACTAAATTAAAAAAATTGATGAAATGCTGTTGTCCAGTTTTAGGACAACAAGACCAAATACACTCTTGCATTTCCTCTTCAACAGTTATCTGAAACTAATCACTAGCATTTGCAGACACTCCAATAGCATGCACAGGGAAGAAGCTTGCAGGGTTTAGTGATCTTCACAAAGCATAACCCATGCACATACAACACATTCTTAACTCTGGAGGACTCAATTTCTAACATTTATGTGGCCCACATGACAGCTACTTGTTGAGCTGTGAGAGGTTTTATTTTATTCTGGAGCTAAAAGAGTGCACCTTTGTACTACTCTATGTTAATTACAATTTCCAATGCAGAAGCACTACCTTTAACTACTGACTACACAAGTTTATATTGCTGTATAGTGTCCAAAAATGAACAGGAATTAAAGCTATTAAGGATCTAAGTGCAGGACAAAAGATAAGTTTAATAGTTAAATCTTAGCAAGCTATAAATCAAGTTACTAGGAATCTGAATCTTCCTGTCCATCACTTTATTAGCCCTCACTTACAAGCAGACTTAATCTTAAAATTCTTGCTGTCATGGTAAATTCATTATGGGCCAAACTAATTAATGCTTTTATTACCCTCTTCCTCCTCACTACAGTGTACTAAGATACAAGTACACTACCAAACTAGTTCTGCATGTCTGCAAATGGATAACAGAAGCTTCTCACCTTTAAGTCACCTAACCAGGTCAAGTCTAGTAGTGTCTGAAGCTATTAAGATTGTCCACTAGCTATGTAAGTTAGACTTGTACATCAAACAAACAAGTAAAAACAGCCTCAAGAGCATGGAAGCAGAAGAGACTGCAGTGTTTCACTTGTGGTTGCAAAGATGATACAATCTTTTGTATGCTTTTACAGTTTGTTAAGAGTTTTCATCTCCTTCCCCAAATTATACTCTGTGCATTATGCTGGTAGCATTCTTTACTTCAACTAGAAGAGCAAGCATACAGGGTTACATATATGATATTAGGGCTTTGAGCCAGAACTGAAACATTGCAACTCTCCATTCTGTAGAAGTCATTTTCTAGTTCCTGCATATATTAAAATACACTAGCCAGAAGTAGCTATAGTGACACTACCTCCTATTGATTTGCTGTTTTGCTGGTACTTAGGTGTTCAAAACCAGAATATTGAAGGGTAATACAGAGCATACATGAAAAGCATCAGAAAGTTAAAAGTATTTCAGGTTTTATGCCTTTATAAAAGAGATGCTTTAAAAAGAGCAGGTACTTGACATCCCTAAGATGGCTTTAAACCAAGTTTTCTTTCTAGCCTACAGTTAGATGCTGTTTCTGGAAGTTAGAAAAGCAGATTCTGAGTTTAGTAACCTGCTAGGCCAGCTCACAAACTTACACAGGCTGAGATCACTTAACACCAGCGGTTCAAGCAACATTCAGGTTAGTTTTATACAGCACCAATAAGCTTAAGGTCTAATTTGTCATAACAGTGTTTCTGAAACCTAACTTCAATACTACTTACACATTCAGCAAAAACTGTTTCAACATATATCCAGAGAACTGAGTAAAAATGGAGCTGAAAAACCTAGCATTTTTGTTTTAGGACCTGTTAAACCATTGCAAATAAACCAACGTAAAGGCATACTGACCACTTCGGAATTTTACAAGTCAAAATGCCAATATACTAGGTACTCCTGTTAAAGCTTGATTTTTTTTTTTTAGAGACTGAAGGTCTACTTACACATAACACTACTCTAGCATACATTTCAACCACCTCATATACTAGTAAAACTCCATCCTGTGACACAGGACCTCAATTCCTCTTCAGGTTTGTTAGCTGTGGAGTACTAAATGAGCTTGAATGGTGATACCTAAGCTGTAATCACAACAGTGATCACCAGCTGTGCCATGTAGATACACAATTAACATTCACTTTCTACTCAGAGCAGCATTCACAGCAGGTATGAATTAAATGGCACTGGATGATGGTAAAAGCCAAACTGTTTTGCTTTCACAAAGCAGGCCACAAATTCAGCTCTAACCAAGTCTGCTGGTCCACAGGTTGCACAAACGTTTAAATAGAATAACAGTTTAACTGGCTTGCACATCAGCTCACTCTGCTGCGTTAAGCCCAACTTCTTAGGTATTGCACTTTATAGTACATTAAGTTAAATAAGCATATTTTGAGATCTCAAAACAGAGCAGTTTATTAGAAGATGTCTCAGCACTCTAACAGTTATTTCAGGGAGGAAAGAAAGGTTAATTTCAGCTCCAGAAAGGAGCAGCAGTGACATAGGCCTTTTATCTACCATGCCTAGATCCCTGCACAAGGTCATTTGTAGGTTCTCCCTGGGATTGAAATGGATCCAGCTATAGCACTGCATTGCCTCTTTTTTCTTCATGTAAGCGAACACAAGACAAGTTTCATTATCCAAAAAGTTTAAAGTATGATTTTAATTCTTCTTTATATGCACCTCACAATCAAATTAAGACATATTTATTTTTAAAAAAGTAGTTATGGAAACTAGCTAGGTTGATAGTACACTATTTTTTACTCATTCAATATACTTTTGATATTAGGGTTTGTCAATAGCTACTAAGCAAAAATATAGCCAGCTGGCATTTCACTATGGTCTACTATGTAAATCAAAGATTGAATACTTTAAAAAGATGCTTTGTTTACTGAATTCAGGAATCCAGCTTAAGCAACCTTACATTCCAACATTCAATTTAGTTTAATTTTGCTGACTTGCACACCTGCACATTACTCTGAAGATTCCTAGGCAGTGTGCAAGTTTCTCCAACTGACTGGAGACCCTCCTTTCTCCTTACTGCATCAAAGTTCTGTCCACCACTTAAGCCACCGATCTTTCCATCCTATACAAAAATAAGAGCCCCATCTCATTAGGAAGCATCTTGCACTTAAGCTTTAAATTAATCTGACACCAGAAATTCCAAGGCACCCTAAAGTGCTTGAGACTATTCCAATATAACACGATAGTTTCAGTTACAGTAATACTATGCATAGTTCGGTGCACAACACCTACTTGTGCTCAGAGCTACTTAGTGCGAGGCAACCAGGTTTTGTACCTGTACCACCACCACCAGTGGACACAAGATTCTACTCAGCTTGAGTGTAAAGATGAATCAAGTTGAAACACCTTAATCCCATTTTGTTACCCAGTGCTGCATGTTACCTACTCTTTTAATTTCATGTTCAACCTTCTGTTTGCGCTCCCGCCTCTAGGCACAAAAATTTTTCAGTTACGTCAAGTTTACTGACAAGATTTAAGCTTAATCGTTTGCTGAGTAAAATGGAATGAATTGATTTCTGCTTTCTTGCATAAACAAGATAGTAGTGCTAACAACATTGTGTACAAAAGAATGCTTAATTCCCCATATTTCCTTCTTGAAGTCTAACTCCAAATTAAACACTACTCTTAGTGACATAACTGAACTCTGCTTTGCCTACCATCTTACCTATTTTCACAATATCAGAACTGTTACTATCCAAGCACAGGTGAGAAAGAAGGTAATGTAACTGGAGGCTAGCAGCCTGCTCAGCTGTAAGCCCTGCATTAACTTTATTTTACATTTCTAAAACAAACTATGCTATTGTTAGACTCTCCAGGACAGCAGTATGGCTTATGCATTCATCTGGAAATACATATTTAAGCCCCTGTACAGTTGGTATTGCTTGATCTAGATGTTAGATCTCTCTTGAATCAGCAGCTATTTTAATCAAAAGCCTAAAAAATTACTGAAGTGCTATTTGCATGCAGCCACAGACAAAGTATTTGATCCCTGGATGAGTCATACCTGCTTTGTACTGATAATAGTGGACAGAGCCAATAGCTGGGGATGAACTAAGTTAATTCTTCTGTCTTATGCATAAAGCAGTTATTCAAGGCTCAAACACAGCAATACTGTGTTGATGCAAAAAGCAAAGCAGACCATCTTGCTATTCTATATATAAAGTTTAATTGCCAGAACTATTTCCCCCAAGAATGAAATAGGAGTCTAAATACAGGCCTACAAAATGCACCTTATAAAGCCTCTGCTAATAGGTAGCTCTAGTCCAATACACTAGTGTGAAAAGGTTATGACAGGTAATACTACATATGCCAACTCACTTCTTTGGGTTCCATATCAAACTTCTTTGGCCCCATCTGCTCCTTTGGCCCAACACTTGCAGCTCCCCAGGACTTCGGAGGGTTCTGTAACTGCTGTGATGACACTTGCTGCTGCCTGTCAGCTTTTTCCCAAGCCTCTCGAGTCTCCTGCTTCTTTTGTTCTGGCTCCTCCCTAATATGTGCAGCCCAAGCCTTCACAGGCTCCTGCTTCTTTTGCTCTGGCTCTTCCCTAACAGGCATTTCCCATGCTTTCACAGGCTCTGGCTTCTTTTGTTCTGGTTGCTCCCTAGTTTGGGTTACCCAAGCTTTTGGAGATTCCTGCTTTTGTTCTGGTTCTTCCTTAACTTTGGTTACCCAAGGTTTTGGGGACTCCTGCTTTTTTTGCTCCTGCTCTTCCCTAACTTTTGCTACCCACGGCTTAGGCGATTCCTGTTTCTTCTGGTCCTGCTCTTCCCTAACCTTTGCTACCCAAGGTTTGGGGGACTCCTGCTCCTCTCGGACACGTGCTACCCAGGCCTTTGGAGCTTCTTGCTTCTTCTGTTCTTCCTCCTCAACACGGGTCTCCCAGGGCTTTGTAGTCTCACGTTTCTGTTCCGGCTCTTTAACACGAGCTTCCCAAGGCTTTGGAGAATCTAGTCTTTTTGGTTCTTGCTGCCTAACACGAGCTTCCCAAGGCTTTAAGGTCTCTTGTTTCTGCTTCTGTTCCTGCTCTTCAATATCAACAAGCATTTCCCAGGACTTTGGAGGTTCTTGCCTTCTAGCACACTCAGCTTCCCAAGATTTGGGCTCTTCTGGCTTCTTCTTGACAGAGTATTCTGCTTCAGGCAAATAACGCCTGTTGAGAAACTATATAGACCAAAGAAACTTAATGGCTCCCAAGAAAACATTTTGCTACTACAGTTCAGGTCAGTTAAGTTAGGTCACCCAGCTACTGAAAACTTCTGACTAAAAGCAGAGCCTAGACACTTTAAACACTAGCCATAGAAACTATGTGGACAGCCATGGCTTTATCCTACAACACTGCCAACTAGCTTTACTTGGCATGCCACAGAGAAGCATGAAAACAGTCCTGAACAGCACAAGTGAAACATACTTGAGCTGAGTGAATCTATTACCCTTATCCTCAATGCCAACTGATGTTCCTAGGCAGTGACAATATCAAGTTCAGTTGTGATTAAAAGTAGCTCTCCTCCTAAGCATTTAAAATGCTGTGGTACTATATTAGTAGACATTCTGCTAACTGTAACAGCACCATCTCCCCCAAAATCTTTGACCCTTTGCAACTCCAATAACCAAGTATGACCATCATTCTTAATGGAGTTTAAATACTAAAAAGTCACCAGATTCTCAGATTTAGTACCACTGGACTTCAACTCCAGGCTGTGTTTACTGTCAATAAGTCTGAGAGTTCAATGAAGATGTCCCAAAGTTTTCCTGAGTTACTACTTTGTCATAAACAGCAAGTAAATATATGAAGCAAAGAATGTATAACGCTCACTGGCTGAGATTTTTTTTGACAAGTCACCAGAAAAAGCTTTAGTCAGGTAACAGTGTTACCAGCAGGTTACAAAACTTGTTCTAGAGTACACCCTCTAGTGGGATGCCTGGGAAATAGGGATTCAGCATTTTAAGAACCAGTATTTCCACTTACAAAAGGCCACCATTCCCCATCTTTTGAACCAAGTCTAATGGTTTTTATGCTGTTGCCAGTTGAAGCTTGAGTACTTAACTGAAGAGTCTCAAGGGCTGTTGAAACAGGTCCACACACCCCTGTGCACACAAGTCTGTCTTGGGATCCCTACTTTTCTGACAAATCAGAGCAAGACCTACATCGTTGTCAACCCCACCAATATCAAGTCTATTGCAATAAGCTTAGCTTTCAGAGACAGCTTTAGTAAATGTGCATTTTCTCTATCCCGTAGTACACAAAAGATCAGTGTGTTTCCACTCTAAAGGCTGATGCTTTAGTTTATTCAGGAAAGTGCCAGAGCATTAAAGTACTATACTGCTTCATGTAATCCTGCCCCATTTATCCCAAAATACCCCAGAGAAGCCATGAATTTGGCTTAGAAATAGAAATGCAATGAAGCCTTTAATGATTCCTACATAAAGCAACACTTAAGTTGCTGTTCAGACTCCCTTTTTAAGTTTAAAAAAGGGCTGCAGAAATGCAGTTATGTTTCTGAAAAATCACAATACTAAAGGAAAGCAATTGGCAGTAGAGTATCTTACCTCCTGTGGCTGTATTTCAGACTTCATAAGCTCCATAATGGACTCTAGAGAAAGGATGTTAATTTGTTTCAACTGATCAAATGCAGAAAAGCAGACCAAACAGTAGCAAGCCTTTAATTCTATTTAAATAGTAGTGCCAATTGCTAAACCAGATATTCTGAAAACTCGGCTTGTCAATCAACATGCGATTTTTAGACAAGCTTTTACTTTTTGATTCAGTTTTACACTTGCAGAAGTTGAGTTAAGCAAGAAACATTTTGTAGTATCCATAATTTGGTTATTGTAATATGTAACATTCCCTACAGCAGACAATTCTCACATCTTCAACATGGAGGCTTGCTCAGAAGGCAAAAACATATTATTATGAATTAGATTTTTTTTCTACAATATTAGCCAGAATAAGGCTGCAAGCTTGCAGGTTCCATTTTAGTCACTACACTGCAAGTAAGCTACAGCACAGGATTAGATTTAGCATCAAGCTATGCAAAGTCAATGCTCAGTTCAAGCTTATACCAACATTATGCTACAAAAATTGAACCCTGTAATATTCCACCTGGTTCTTTGACAGACTCTCCTTTTGACACCTGTCTTGTTCTTTCAGATTTTCTATTTACTTCTTCTTCCAATTCTTTTACTGGCACAGTGGTGCGAGGAGTCGGAATACTTTCAAAGTAGCCAGAGTCTAGAAGTTTGGATAACAAGTCCTTCATGTGTTTATCTGAAGAGTAAAAATCCATGAAATTAAGATATGAAAATTTGAAATTGAGTATTCTGATTACAGATCAAGACTGCTTACTTCCTCCCTTTATATAAATTGCAACTTCTCCAAGTTCACACATCTTACTGAGTTATAGCAATAAAATGTTTTAGTAAAGGAAAGTATTTGTTAAACTGCTTTACATATTACAGCTGAAAACATCTTTGCAATCCAGAGGTAAGACCACAACTTGTGTTTAAATGCACACAGGGTAAACAGCGAGCCACCTGGTCTCCTACATGCTTAGGAAGGGATTTGTTTACCATTATAAACTAGCCAGCATTGACACTAAAAGCACATCATGCAGACTGTAGCATAGGTAAAGCTAAACAAAGTCACTATGGAACTGCCCTATAAGACCCTCTTCCCAGTTTAGGATGGCAAGTCTCAGAAGGAAAAGTTAAGAACTGCAAAAACAAGCGGGGGAAAGAAAGCAAGGAGATCAGTCCAGACTGAACTTAATCCTCTCAAGTTTTGGAAAAAAGTCAAAGTTGACACGGTTGAAGAAAAAACTTAACTGTGTACTCTTTCTGACAAGCATTGTCCAGTTCCCTTCTTTAAGCAAAAAAGACAGCAGCTTAGAGTAGAGAGTAAGACCTCAGAAGTAGCAGTGATACTAGAAATTGTTTCAGAAGAGCTAGAGGCAGGGCAGCCTTGAGAACAGGAAGAACATTCAGTGAAACATCACTCCTACCAGTGACAACCGTATAAACAAGAATAGTAGCTAGAATTTAATATGGATGTAAAAAATTGCCTTCCAAGGCAATGAATGCTAACAAGAAGTCATAACAGCTTTATCTGAAGTTTAGCTTGCACATAAAAGGATGGAAGACTGACACTAAAGAGACAGAGATACTGACAAAATAGTCACAAAAGTTTAGATGATAGCCAAAAAGCTACAAAAATTTGAAGTCCAAGATAACCAGGCAACTATCAGCTCATATCAACAGATACAAGGCTAAAGTTACCAGCTTGTAGCTTTACAAGGACAGCTTGCACTTTGTCTAGGACTGTATGAAAAGAGTTAACACTTAGCTGTCAGCTCAACTATCTGTATGTGGACATTAGACAGGGTACATTAGCGCTCTCGTCTAACAGTTTCAACAATATTGTTGTCAATGACAAATGAAAGATTACTGCCACACAGCCATTACAAGACTGGAGTAAATGGGACAAGCAAGGTCTGTTTGCAATAGGAAAGACACTACAACTCAAGTGAGGACAGTTTCCTCCCAAGCAAGTTCTAAATAGGAACACAGAATGTGTATGTTAGCTTACAACTAGGGTTTCTGAAACTAAAAGCCACAGATAGAAGAAAATTACTGTAGAGTCCCACAGATTTTGGTATGCTTGAAAAATGAGGACATTTGCAACAGGTCAAAGCAAGACTGCATTGTGCATGATTAGAGATCACAGCAAGTTCCATTAATGACTATCCTTCCTCAGTGTGGTATCCTGCACTGTAGTCAGACAATGGGTGTGAGCCTGGAATTCCTACAAGAAGAGAGAATCTTCAACGCTGTGGGACCTTCAGCCTGGGGCCACCAAAGCTTTGTAATACACATCAGTATACTCAACTAAGCATTTCATGGCTGGGAACAGTGCTCCAATCCTAACTTGTTTGCACATAGAGCTTCCCACTGCTGGTTCTGTAAGGTATTCATGCATCACCTTTTGAATTTCTACCATTATTATTCCTCAAAAAGGTGCTAGTACATTGGTAGAAGAACATGCTTTCTTATTCCAGAGAAAAGTTTACTGTATTGTTTTGATCTGTACTTAAAAACAGAACTTGGAATAAACAGTAGTTTATCTTTAGATAACTGCATTAACACACAGCACTTGAAAGTGCTTAATTCAGTAGCCTTCTATGTATATTAATTTGTTTTAATATATTTAAATAGCACACAAATTTCAGATCTCTAAGTTATTTCTCTAGCTGAGACACTCACATGTTGTTCCAACCACAGATTTCTCACTTCCTTCTAGAAGGTCCCAGAAGTAGAGAGATGATTGTTCCATCTGGTCTTCCACACTAAAACAAATGACAGTTTTACCAGGTAGAATCATAGCCAAGATCAAGTCTTGTAGTATCCCAATTCCCCTCATTTTAAGACACTGACTAATGTTTAGCCTTCCAAATTAAGGCTGTATACCGAGAGTGAATCCTAAGCCCATTTTCTACTACTGAAAGTGATTAATCTGTATCTGTTTGTACATGACTTAATCTAGCAAATTAAGTTCTTTTGTTGGTAATTAAGACAGATTAGGGAGCCTAGCACTATCCCACAAGACCATATGGCTGAACTTGATTCCAAGCCAGGATTCCCAAACAGAGAAACAATTGCTGTTTAATCAGCTGATCACCTTGTTTATTGGATGCACACGTGCAGGAGCGACCATCAATAGCTCCTGCCACTCTGCTAGTTATTGAGAAACTTTGACATAGGTCCATGATCCACCCCACCCCCTCCAGACAATGCATTTTGAAGTCCATCATGATGAAATTTAGTATCCCAAAGGAAAGGATTATGCTTCTTGTGGAAGTGTAATACAATGAGAATTATAAGCTAGAAATAGTTATTTCACTGGGATGAGAGACTCCTATGTGTGGCTTTTTATAAGCAGCTGTTCTTTAGAAGTTAACTTAAGAGCAAAGATTAGGGAAGTTTAGCATATGACAAGTGATTAGAAGTTTTAGGAACTTAAGTCACATTTGACTATGGAATTACTCTTATCCATGAATTGTTTCAACTTACCACCTAATAGCTACTTTTTCCATATTTAAATACAATTCTTACTACACTATCTTAAAACAGGCTGTCGTGCTAAACATAAGCCATCGTAGTACGAGCATGATGCCAAGTTAGTACGGACATACATTACATCTGTTGACAACCTGTTACCTTAAGATGTAAGGTAAGATTAAGATTTAGTGCAGAGGTATAAAAACCTTCAGTCAAATTTTTAAAACTACTTTGAAGCTAATAGCAAGAGAGCCTCAGGACTACCACCTCACATTCCTTTGGAATAAAGAAGCACATCTGGATCATCATGTGAATGGCACATAGAACAGTTCTCCTGTGTTAACACACTTTTTTCATTTCATGAACAGTGAGACCTCAGGGAAGCAGCATGCCACCAGCCTCCCTGCTTACGATGGTGTTGGACTATCTCCCTTCAACCCCACAGGGAGACATAAGATGGTAAGGCTTGTGTGTAACTTGCACAACTGAGGCTGTAATTACTGCAGCTTTCCTTTAATGCTCAGAGTGAGGTAGTCTGCTACATTCCTAGTCTCAGACTAAAGCAAGTGTACTGAACAGAATTTTAATTAGTGTCCAAAAACATCATATTTCAAGACATGGCAGTGTCAAACAGAGGACATTTACTGTAATGAATGAAGCATACTAATTAGACAAAAATCTTGAACTTACCTCAAGTTCTCATTTCTTTCTGGACATGTCAGTTTCGCAAATCTTATGAGGTAGTCTAGTTCTTTAGAAGGCAAGTATATTGCACCATTCACACCACCTTTGAAATCTTTCTGAACATGCTCTTGAGTGAAGTTCTGCAGCACATACTGGACTTGAAGTATTGTACGCAGTTTTTTCTTCTCTGCTTCAAGCTTCAATAGACTCTCTCTTCGCTGAGCCTTCCTCTGTGCTTTCAGTAGCTATTTCAATATACAAATTCAATAGTTAAACACAGTGGTTTAGTAACAGGATTCTAGGATAAAACACATCGAGTTCTAGTATTGATTATCCCACATTGATCAAAATAACTATTAATTTCGGTTAGATAACAGAAGCTCCTAATTCTCCCTTCAGATATCCAAGATCTTTCAAGCTCCTCCTCTCAAAGAGCTCCCCGTTTATCTACTAATTCTCTACACATCTAGCTTTTAGTCAAACTGGATACTTGTGATATGCCTTTATGATATTCAGATCCTGATTATGCCTACTAGTTGCTTTATTATAACAGCTTTCACAACTGAATATAAAGAGTTAATAGAATTGATACCAATACACAAATCCAAGCCTAGCTGACCTTTAACATTTATCACATGAAGTTAGTGGTGCAGAAGTTGTCTCAAATTTCTCCTAGTGAGACAACTGCCTCTTCATTTTTGAATATTCCAATTTAAATGATGCAGCAGAATCCTACAGTTACTCTTATTTCTGATGGCAGAAGACTGAAGCACTCATTAAATAACCAACAACACAAGTCACAGAACATACACAGCCCTTATGCATTTAAGGAGAAATTTCTCATCATGTACTAACAGAATTATGCAGCAAAATCTATCCAAGTAACTGCAGAATTTTAAATGCCTCAGTATGGGGTATCTTAAGTTTCTTTGCAAGATCTATGAAGATTTAGTTTTCTAGGATGCACTGTAAAGAATATAAGGATGTTTTTGCCAGAATGGCCCCTAGTGTTCCAGTAATGGGTATTGGCTGTAGAATCCATACTAGTAGAAGTAGAGCCAAGTTAAAAACAAAGTGGGTTAGCCTTTAAATATATGCAGTTCAAGAACAAACATGAACCGGTAGAAGTTAACACTGGATTACTAAAAACACCTACAGAAAGATACACTGGGTCACAATCCTTCATTTCTGGTATTTCACAGGTAGCTACACAGAGGAAAGCAATAGGAAGTAATCCAAGTTTTGACATTCAGCAGAGGAGTTTTTATGTTCAACATACAACTGAGGGAACCCAAAGCAGCCACGCTACTGAAAAGGCTCTTAAATCTCTGCTCACATAGTGCTTTGAGAGATTCACTGCACTAGCTGGAATTACTACATATACAAGAAAAGCCTCTCTAGCAAAATTGTTTGTGTCTCAGTCAATACCAAGACAAGCCATTTTACCAGTCCTTCAGCATTCTGCAAGAGGCAGAGAAATAATGCCAGAGCAGTGACTAATCATGTTTAGCATTCCCAGCACTACCTTGGATCAGATCTTTTCATAAGGATAGTACTTGCTTGAGCCAAGAGACCAGTTTCTGCAAAGATAAAACACTTGCTTACATAAAAATAATGTATGTAGTGCTTTACACCCTGAATAAAGACCTAAATAAAGCACTAAATCTGTGACTTGCCATAATTAGAGACAACTACAGCAGAATAAGTGGCAAACTCCACAAGCTTCAGTAAAATTTTACTGAGAGCTGTACTTCTCACTGAAATCAGTGATTTAACCCCAGTACTTTCCCCCACTGGAAACATCAAAATGTTCAGTTTGGAAGGGATCTTGGGAGGTCATCTAGCCCAGCCTCCAGAACAAAGGCTACACTGAATCAAGACCAGATTACTTAGATTTTTGTGCACTCAGGTCTTGAAAAGATCCAAGGACAGATTTTACTACTTCTCTAGGCAGGCCGCTCTAGTGCTCAATTATCCTCAGAGTGACCGTTTTCCTCCTATCTAGTTGGAACTTACTATTTCAATTTATGATCATCCCTTCTCCTACCACATCTCTCAACAAAAAGCATGGCTCCATCCTTTCAGTAATATCTTTGGTATTTGAGGCTAATACTGCATCTCCTGCCAAGCTTTCACTTCACTAGGCCCAACAAGCCTAATTCATCGAGGGTCTCCGCACAGGTCTCATGCTCCAGCCCGCAGCTGTTCAGAGGCCCACCACTGGACTCACTGAAGTTTATCTATAGCCCTTCTGAACCAAGTGACCAGAAATAAACACAACCAGTTAACAAGTACCAAATGATCAGTTCTCCTTAATCTACTGGTCCTCAGTCTAAGTCTAGCCTTCACTGCTCCTGCTGCCCACAAGGACCTGCATGTCCTTTCCAGTAGAGCTGCTCCCTCATAAGTCTGCACCTATGCAGGGGATGAGTCCACCTCAGGCACAAGCTACCAGCAAGATGATTAACGTTTCAAACCTAAGTAAACTGTAATCATCTCCAACACGGCTGAGTTCCAATGACTCAATTTACTTAAGCAAAAGTTCTTACAGGGGTATACAGTGAATAATTATATTGCGGAGGTCAATGGTACACAAAATTGTCAACATTTACTCTGCTCTACTCACTACTCCAGACAGTTTAAGCACAGTGTTCCCCCAAGCTCCAAGATAGAAACTTCCTAGTATTCTGCATATTGCCATATGAGTGTAACCATTAGAAAAGTAGCACAAACTTTGCAGTTACCTCCTGACAATATAGGGAAGACATCTTGGCTAAGTCCTGAAAAAGTCTTCTGAAGCTCCTTGGCAAATTCTAAGTTGTGTACTACTTCATCATATTTCTCTACTGCCTCCTACAAAGGAATAGATAAAAATGTATTTTTCATGCTTAAAACTGCTAGTTGCACCTAAATCCCCTTGTACTTAACTTCTCATTGAGAACTAGTCATTTAGTGTGTACTTCTCTGAAATTGTAACTTTTTTAAAGATACTATGTCTGTAACTGGTACTTTAACTTTACTCATGAATATCATTTACCCATGACTGTCTGAGATGCAGTACAAAGCCAGCTCACACCACCACAAAGATATCCTACAAGTTTGTATTAGACTCTCCAGGCAACATCTTGTGTAATACTTGGTATGTTCATGTTGAAACAGGAAAGCCTGGATACCAGTTATTTCATTTTCCCTTTTGTTCCCATAGGTCTTAGCAATCAGAGGTAAACAGCTACTTGAAATCAGATACTGATGTGAAAGCCTGGAAGGAATACAGGAGACAGGCAAGTTCAACACAGACCTTTTACCCTGATGCTTAGCTGAATGCCTTTACAGATAATTCATACAAACCTCAGAAAGAAAACAATATAGAAGGCAAGTCATACTTTCAGAAAAAAGTCTTTCAAACTTAGTTTCCATAAGCAAAGCAATGTTCCTGTCTTCACTAATGGCTTTAACCAATATTTTACTAACCAGTCTTCAAAAAGACTAAAGTAGATTATTAATTGCATCTTGATATAGCCTATTTTTTATGAGTTCTTCCCCACTAAGGAATCAGTTCATTTTTACAAGTCTCCTTGACAGCTCTGAAGATAGCAAAATGCTGTAGTTCAGACATGCTGCCCATATCCTCATACCCATAAGGCATGCCTGGGAAGTAACAAGTTAAGTTTAATTTCAGTTGTTCACATGTGCTTTTGGTTTATGCTCATATGTCAGAAGTTTTTCTAGAATGGGCCCATCAGTCTAATATAAAGCTCTTTTAAAGTGGTGTTTCATCAGTGCAGTGACAAAAGCTTAATCTACTGTCCCAATAAGATTTGGGACGTGTAAATTCTGTATGTTTTCCAGTTGCATATTCATTTGTTCAATCAGTTCTATTGTTCAGTTACTTGTATTCACTTATTTGTAGTATACTAGATATTAGTAGGCCTAAATGCCATCACAATGAAGTGCATGAGGTACCGTAAAGCACTCATCTAGTAGTTTAAGTTGTCCTCACACAATTTATCAAGCAACTTTTAAGAACTAATTAGCAAGTTCACTTAGCACTTGGGAAGATGACTTCTAAGACCCTAATGACCACATTTGACATTTGAGGAAGACTCCCAATGTAACACCAATAATTTACTAGACAGATTGCAGTAACCGTGCTTTTAACCATGCAAATCCCAGAGTAAAACTCCCTACCTGAAAACATCTAGAACAGTAACACCGCTTTGATGACAATGTATAACTCAGCCTGCAGGAAAGCAATAGCTTTCTTTTGTTACACCTGTTATTAACACTCATTAACAGCATGCTGGAGTAACAGTACTGAGGAAAGTCTGCTCAGCTTGCAAAACAGCACAACATTGCCAGTGAGAGCATTTAACTTGCTGGAAGCTCCTCATTTTTGAAACAAATGTTTCCTAAAGTAAGGCTAGCACACATAGTAGCCCTGGCATGCACACACCATAAGTAATTACAGTTTAATCCACATTGCTTGCAAAACAAGTTCATCACCAGATGTGCGCTTCTTCCTCTGTGAGAGAAACAACGAAAAATATAGATGACATCAAGTTACATTAGAGCTCCACTGTATTATAGGCAGTTAGGTTTCTTTAGGCAAGTGTCCGAACTATTAAGCTCTACTCTAGCTTCAGTCACCAGGTCCCAGTATTTGTATACACATTGGGAATTCGCATCTGAAAGGTAAAAATGCAGTATTTCTGTATCTTAACCACTGAAACAGGGGTCTTGACTAGACTGTTGGTTAAATACTGAGTTGATATGTGCTTCTGCAATAGTCATCTGAACAGTTTGACTACCACTGGTCAGTTCACTAGCAAGAACTGAATCCAATTCCCCATTTTAGAAGCCTCAGATATCCCAGAAACTGGGATACTTGAAAAGTTAAGCTCAACTGGGAATACTGAAAACCAGTAACCAAGTTAATTGCCTATACATTTTCGAAAGTTAGTGCTGCTGGATGCATTTGCAAGAAAAACATCTACAGAATCCTCCACCTCTTTAGTTCCCCACGTTTTAATTTCACTTTCACCTAACAGCTTTCCACAGTCCAGGGTACATACCAAAAATAAATAACCAAATTCAGAAGCAGCTTTAAAACATGTTCAAGACTAATCAAACTTACACAGAATACTGTTCAATAGTCTCACTGTTAGTGACAGAAGAAAACAGACTGTATTTAACACCTATGATCTAAATGCAAAAGGCTCTTACCCACCTGATTTCAGATTGAGTTTAGAAGAACTAAAAGGTCATCATCCTACTTCAAACCATCAGATTTAATTCGTTTACTTCTGCACTTGAATGGCAAAAGACTACATCAGTTTTTGTAGTTAAGTGCTAAATGATCATTCACTCCAATAGGTCTACTCTACTTTTAAGTAGCAAGTTATCATTTCCCCTCTTATCCCATTTATGTCCAGTTCTCATTTACAAATGACTCGGAGTAAGGAAACTGTATTTGTGTTCTCATACTGCTGCACTGTGATAAAGCTAACAGGCAATGAAGTATTTTTCCAACTGATTCATTAGCAGGATCAGCACTACCACTGAAGTGTCAGTGCCCTTTATCACACAATTGTTCTTTAGCATGTGTGAGAAATACATTTTAAAAATGTGACTCCTAGATGACTAGAGCAATAAACCCTTTGGATTATGTGACACTGCTACTCAGACATGCTTAAGAAGCAATAGCTTTCAACGTTAGGGAAACCTGGTTTCAGTTCTAGAATCCATTCTAGTCCAAGACAGAAAAAAGCCAGAACCATTGTTTTAACATCAGGCAAGTTTAAGCTAGCTCCACAAAGTGGATCACATTTGCCAAGTAGTGATCTTGCATCCAGGCATTCCAAACTCCAGCAACCTTAGGTACAAAACAGACTCATTGTTCTAACAGCATTTGAGAGCGCTGGTGACTCCCAGCACTGGAAGGACAGGAGAGTATTCCCAACTAAGTCACTAACTCATAGCTAGATTCTTCTATGAGGGAAGCCTTTAGATCCCACGCAAGTTAAACCAGTGTCTTCTCTGGTACCAACAGGGGCCATTTGTCAGTTACACTTTAACAGCTACTTGTAACCAACAGCACTAGGCAGCCAACAGGCAATTTCAAGCAACACCTGTTAATGAAGAAGTCATGAGGATTAATTAGCTACCCCAGAAGTCTTGAGGTTTGTGTTCAAACACTGCAATGCGTTGTAGATAAGCTGCATACAGACACCTCATCAAGAAATAAAGGTGCAGGAGCACTGAAGCTGAAAGTCTAGATAGCAAAGATAAACAAGGACCTTTCATTACTTCAGTACACAACATGAAGGTTAAAGTAGGAGACAAAGCCTGTGAGCTCACCATTCAGCTTAATTACCAATAATTTGTCTATTTGGTTTTGTGAAAAAATACTAATGCAAGCCTGCAGGCATTACTTCTGTAAAACTACACCACCACCTCCTTCAGCAACCTATCCCTTCTGACATGTTTGAAGATTTTTGAGGCCACCCACTCCTGCATAAAGCAAACTTACCAACTGGTCTTGATTGAGGGCTTCTCCCTTCTTCAGGCGATCTTTGTAGTCTTCTAGTTTGAGCTGTAGGAAAATCCAAAGTAATTTTTTTATATTGATTTCTGTCTAATGTGGAGTATGGGGTATGAGTGAAGTTGCATATTCTTTCCGTATTTTAAGTTACCAGGATACTGCAACAGAATAGGAATTTTACTACTACTCATTTTCAGGAGAAAGGAACATAGAAAGTTTTGCTACGCCTTTGATTTGGCAATCTCAAGTCTCCAGGACTGCCTACTTCCCTTCCTTATCTTTGATCTTTCATTTCTTACTTGCTACCTTTGTTTCATTTAACAAATACTAATGCATTGACCCTAGATCTTTAAGGGGCTCCAAACACATCCAGTGTCCTCATTTTAAATTAGCCTTTTTTAACTAAGTTCCAGCATTGACTTGGAAAAGCTATCTTATCCTTGAATAATCCTACTTAATTTTCCAGAGCATGTCTTTCAAAATCTGGCTTCAGTTATGTTATCAAGATTTTCTAGCACTATTTCCTAAGAAAGTGGACTAATGTCTTTAGGAAAGAAATACTATTTATTTCTAATATACTGAAACAGTCTTTAAAAGCTGATGTAAATTACACAAAACTATTAGGTGTTACAAGCTTCTCTATACACACAGGGAAAAGAAAGTGGAGTTCACTGCCATGAAGTTGAATGCTGTTTCATTTGTGTATCTACCCACATAGGGTTTACTGACACAGTACCTATAGGAGCCTAGGACTAGGAATACTTTCTACTTATTCTAGTAAGTCAAACTTCATTTGCTAGTGAGGCCATATTGTCATTCATGTGAAAGAATCAAAGATACTTGAGAAATTCACAACAGTAAGCTTCCTTAGACAGAATTAGAATACAACACAAAGTTGGTTAGTCACAGAACAAAAAGGTGCTTATCTGACATTATTCAAAATTACAGCATGATGCATGACATGAGACAGCAGTAATACTGCATCTCCTGCAGGTGGATCAAGTCCCCTAGCCACATGGCCAGAAGTCTGATCTATTCCCTCTTCTCACCCCAAGACATAACACAAAGCTTTTCAGGCATTTAGAGAAGCACAACATATTCATACATTTGCTTTACTTGTAAATCCTAACCCAGTACCAAAAGCAACAGCACCATTATTTATCTTAAAGCAAACAGCATGTTCCCAACTAAAAATCATGCACATAGCCTTCAGTCACCTGCCAATCAACTGAAAAGTCTCAGAATGCAAAAGCCTGACCAGCTACAGCCACAATATTTTAGGTGTATCATTATCTCAGTTCTTATTCTTGTTAACGCTATTCTGCCCCCCCCCGCCCCCCCCAAAAAAAAGCAGAGTTCAAAGCAAGAGAGCAGGCTTTAGACACTTTCTGTTTAAAAAGCTTTCTAGTAAATAACTTTTGTCTATACTTAAAATATAGAAGTCAAAGCTTTATGCAAAGTGAAGTGCAATACATATTTAATACAATTTGACATTTCCATGAGTCAGAGGAAACACTGTTCATAATTTCCAATTTTACATACATCTCTACATCCTAATATTAGATGCATGTAATCAATACAAGAAACATGAAGATTTCTGCAAGACTATAAACATCTCCAAGTCAGTTCCAAGTTAGCTCTGAACTGATTCAGTCTATTAAAGAAGCATCCCCAGTTTTGATCAACATTCAATTACTTTTGCTAACTATTGGACATGCACTGTAAAGCCAGCAGCTGAGAACAGGTTTACAGTTAGCTGCATTCCCGATTCCCTGAAACAATAATGTTGTGCTCACACAATGTCAAATGCAAGTATCCCATTTCAGAACAGTAAGAGTAAAGAACACCATTCTTTACTATACAGGGGTTATAAGTGATAAGAAAAAAAACACTAGTAAATCCACGTTTAGGTCCTTTCACAGGTTATTTAAAAAAAAAATCCATGATTACTCTCTATATACACACACAAGCTTATTCCAGCTATTATAAAATAGGCACTGAGTTTCACAATTAGCAATTTAAATATGTGCCATACCAAAGAAAAACAAGTTACCTTCTTTTTCTCAATGTTCCTGATTTTGTGTTTGAGGCAGATAAGGCCGTTATCAATGTAAGTCTCATATGCCTGGGAAGGAGAGGCTGCCGAGTTCAGCGCAGACTGCAGGGGGCTGGAGGGAGGTTGGCTCTCCCCAGACGGGTTCACCTGCTGCTTGGCCGCCTTCATGCTCTTATCCTCCCCCTCCTCTGACCGGCCTGAAGGTGATGATGGGCGATGGAAAGGGGCTTGGGAAAGCTGCACCATTGAAATGGATGGAGCTGCAAAGAAAATCCTTTTATTTAGCTCTCTCACCCACCCCCACCCCCCCTTTTTTTTGTTTTAAGTTACATCTTTTCTCATCACACATTCAGAAAACATAGCCACAAAATTGAGCCTCAGTAAGAATTCATCAAAATCTTTCACTCTTCTCTCTCCCCCTTTCAAAATATCTGTAGCAGGAATTTCAAAACAAGGCAAACTTTGTATTGTTCAAGTCTTCCCACCCATCCAGACACCAGAAATCCTTTACATAGGCAGAATCAGACAGCACAGGAGATGATTCCAGAAACCCAATATAGTGTCCATATAAAACTAGGCGGGTTTCCTGCACACATCACCCACAAGGGAAAAAACTGCAAGCAAGCAATTGCAAATCACGCCGCCAGCCTCACATCCAGGCTGCAGCCTGAATGAAGATTTAGAAGTGGCATGCCTGAAGGTATAGCCCCTCTTCTTCTCACCCCCATTAAATCAGCTTTACCCCGTCATGACCTCTGCAGCAATCAAACCAAGCATTTAAACTAAAAAGATTTCAATTGAAAAAGACAAAAAAAAAATTGCTTAAAATTGTTTAATAAAGCAAGCAGCACACTCAGTCACAACAGCATCATTCTTTGTGAGGGATTGGTCTCTGCCTATACCATCCAAAAGATGTGCTTGTGCCATGGCAAGACACCAGCTTTGATGGGAGGGGCTGGACTTTAACCTTGAACAGAGAATTTCTGTAAGAGATGCTCCGCCACCCTCATCTTCAACTACTTACACCTGCTCCTGGAAAGCAATGACACCACATTTCTGCCTCCCTGCCCGCCAGGGAGGCCTGCAGCACATGACCCCAGCGGGCACCATCCGCCCACGGCGAGGGAGGCGAGGGGCCGAGGAGAAAACCTGCATTCCCCCGGGACGCCCGCTCAGCCCCTGCCGCGGCTCCCGCCAGCGGGCAGGGAGGTGCCTCC